CATGGGTCGTCACAGGGGCTACCCTTTTAGAACCCCTTATAACAGATTAGCCCGTGAGAATTGTGCGTACTTAGCCTTGCGCATCTCGCCGCGAGTGCGATGTGCTGCGAGGGACCTTGGCCAGGCGAGCTCAGTTTTAAGCCTGTGGAAAAAAAAGGCGCTTACAGTGAGCGAGTGTGCTGGGGACCGGGCTGCTGTGTACGAGGCCTGCTGTAAAAGGGGTTTAGGCGTGAGGGTTTAGGGGCTGGGTTTAAGGTTTAGGAGTTTAGGGGTCTAGGGGTTTAGGGTTCAGGGGGTTTTAGGGTTTAGGGGGTTTTAATGTTTAGGGTTTAGGGGAAAGGGTTGAGGGTTTCATATGTGTCGTTTTTTAGCGCAAGGTTTTCGACAGATCCCAGCAGCTGCAGTGGATTTTTGATCTGGCTTGAGGGGAGATCCAAATAGCATATGGCGTGTTCTGACACTATCTGGTTGCTGTTGCCCCGATGGTAACGGTCGAAGTTTTACTCGTTGTCAGTTCATCCGAAGAGACATGAGAAGACTATGCTTTCATTCCGGCTGGAACGGAACTGTTATGTGGCTTTGGAGCCCCTGCGAAGGCATTGTTACCACTTTAACCATGTTCTTGGTGTTGTTGTCACCTTACTCGGATACTGGATAGCGACCCCAAGGTTTCGAGAACGTATGAACGTCCACCCATCTGAAGCCTTCAATGCGAAACTCTTTGGCAGGCTATCATCACTATGGCGCAACGCCCCTGATGATTGCCATCATCTGCGGAAGCTTGTCTGAGATTGTGGGAGGGTTTATCACCAAGGACCTCGGGCCGCTTGCGTTCAGTGGGTGCGTAACATGCAAACCCTAAACCCTGTCCCATGATTCCCTATCAGCCCTATACCTCTGATAAGCCCGAAACTCTAAGCCTTGTCGGCCTATCAACCCTATGTGCTCTGGCCCTTTGTGGCCGCGAACAAAGATCGGATGAGAGGAGTGAGCAATAGCCCGCAACATGGGTGTGGGTCGCCAGCGGTTGCCACGGTCCGCATCTTCGGAGTTTATCTGCGCTTTAGGGCTTACAGACAGGAGCTAAAACATCTTTCGGGGGTTTACATACTGTCGGATGTTTTTGTTGTCCTAGGGCTTACAGGGTTTACAGTCTACAGCTTTTCAGGGTTCATATACGGTTTGGTGTAGGCGTCTGGATCAGTGGTGGCCCAAGAGCCAAAGAAACATAAGCTCTCTAAATTAGGGTCCGCTTTAAAGGCTCTCTATTGAAGCGACCCTGGTTTAGAGAACTACCCATATAGAACCCATGTAATACCCTTATAGAAACCCTACAGAAAGCCTTATAGATCCCTTTAAGGAACCCTAGAAAGAGACAAGGGAAGGATCTCAGAAGTCATGTTGAAAGGCCCGGTGTAGGGTTTAGGGTTTAGGGGCGTGCCTTTTGGCGTCCCTCTTTCTGTGTCTGGAGACTACGGGGGCGAGTTTCAGAACATAGGAAGTGCTGACTTTCTACCCTGAAGTGTAAAGTGCGGAATGTAGGGATCCTATGTTCAAAGGGTGCCCCTACTGTAGAAGCAAGGAGCCCTAACTGTTACAGTGTTCTTGCAGCTCGCATGACGACCTGTTGTTGAGACCAGAGATCTGACCCCAAAATCCGCACCACCAATAACAAGGATTCATCCTTCGCAAAATCCTATGCCCCTAAGCCTTGATAGTAAAATCTTGCTGAGAAGGAAACTACGAAGCAGCCGCTGCCCTTATGGTCGCTTGGATCTGCGAAAGGCTTATCGGTATTTTTAGATAGGGTTCAAGAAAGGAGCCACCTCACAGCATCGGGAACCTGCGAAACAGATGAAGTGTTTCATGTAAGTTGCATGCAGCAGACTTAAAATCTTATGCTCTGAGCTGTCATTGTTTGATTCTGGCTCTAATTCTTCGCTCCGCAAAGTCTTTAGAGTTCGAACTCTCCAGGCAGCCCTGAAATCTAGCCGCAAACCCCGAACCCAAAACCCTCAACACCCAAACAGTTGAACCCCTAAATCCCAAACTCTTCGCACCAAAAGTAAAACCAACCCCCCAATCCCAAGCTGAAACATCGAAAGTCTCAAACCCCTAAACCACTTAAAGGATCATGGGACTTAGTAAGTAGGGTTATAATTACGGTAACTATACTTATATTTACTTATAACCCCACTTAAGGGACTCAGAACCTTGCTTACTAAGTCCCGTGATCCTCCAAGCAAACCCACAAGGTCAGAGGGGCTCGGCTCGACCTGCGCAACTCCCGGCGCCGGACTGCGGCCGACCTCGCGCGCGAGATGTCCTCGCCAGACTACCTGTGCCTCGGTGTTTGTGGGGTCTCGGGCGCAGGCCTTTTCATGTTTATGTCTTGCAGGATTTGGGGCTACCGAGGTTCTGGGTGGAGGGTTCAGGGCTCAGGCTTTTGTATTGTTTGGGTGGAGGGTGTAGGCATACTACAAGGGCTACTATAATACAAGGCTTCCAGTAATCGTAGAACTCGTAGTTTTTGCGTTGCCTTCGCCGCTGAAGGATGGCAGCATTGGGCGGCCACATGGCGTGGTGCAACTCTCTTGTCGCGCATGCACTGATGCTGGGTTCTTGTCAAGAAATTTATTTTAAGTTACTATAGTACGGATCTATAGTAAATAGTATGGTTTCCTTATTATGGTAAGTAACTTATAAGTTAAATCCCTTAACAAGCAACCAGGATGTGAGCTGCTTTCGGCCTTCCGAGCCCCTTCGTCGTGCTCAGGGGTGGGCCGCAACGGAGAAATCCTTGGGCCTCAAACCCAAGTTGCCAAGTTGTCTAGCTTCTGGGTAGTTCTCGAAATTACGGTCCCTTTTTAGGTCCCCAATATAGTACGGCACCCTTAAAGAAAGGACCCCCAAAAAGGACCCTAGTTTAGAGAGCTACCCTTCTGGGGCACAAGACCCCACAAAGAGGGACCCTTGTCTTTGGCCCATGGTGCACGTGCTAATCACGGGAGGCCACGAAGGGTTTGTAGCAAACGGGTTTTTTAGGAGCCTGAATTCATTCGGCGGGAGAGGGTTAGCAACCCCTCCTTCAGGTCCCCATGACATCCCTATTAATATCATACCTGGACATGCCGCATGTGACATGCTTCAACTCTAGACTAATTGTCAGGCCTGTGGTAAAGGTATTCACAAGGTCTTAGTAGGCATGTGATCAAAGAACCCTACGGTAGCGCACCACTTCCTTCAACACCTTTGTGGCTTCCAGTCGGCATAGCTTGGCGGCTTCTGCTGCGCAAAGTGCAATCCAGCCGCCGCCAGACCCGCTACATCCCGCGACTCACTCATTGATCGATCAAACTCGGGTTCGGGGGCCCATACCAGTTTACTGCTACCTGCCCGAACTGGCAATACCCACACCGCACTGAACAAACAGGTAGCACGCATCTTCCATCGCAAGGTAAGCTTGAGCAGGTTCCGGTATCGGATTTGGGGGGCTCGGCCATAGGATCCTGCATCATGCCTGCTGTAACGGCTGTGTTCCCTGCAACATACAGATGTTTGCATTTGTGGTAGTATCCCCAGGTAGTAAAGCTGGCCGTTCTACAGAGCACAAAATACCCCAAGACCCGATTCAAACCATTCAGGCCCCTTCATTACCTCTCAACAAAATACTTGCAGCCTCCAGGGCCCATCGGGGAGTCTTACAGCAAGGGGGTACTTTAGGCCGAGGAGGAAAGGGAATCTGTTTTGATGCGGGGGTTGGATAGGGCCAGGAGGAATGTCGCTTCCAGCCACAAACCTTCTAAGCTGGAGATGATAGCAAGGCTTTCATGCTGCAAGGCTCGAGGGTTTTAGGGTTTGGGGCATTGGGATGTAGAAGGTACTGTCGTACAAGCTGATATCAAGAGTAATTCAATCAATGGTAACAAGGGTTAGCTAAATCCCCATGTACTTCGCACTTAGCCTGGAACGCACCCACGTCGTATCAGCGTTCATGCCCTTAGAACAGCGTTTGTAGAATTTGAGGCCCGAAAAAATGCAGACTCTAAGCCCCAAGCCCTATAGCCTCTAGACCTATACACCGCTCCCAAATCCCGGGCCTTATACACCCCCAACACCCTCAACCCTCCATCCAACACGCTACCGGCCACGAAAGGAACCCGAACCGCCTCTATCCAAAAAAGGGGAAGCCGTGAGACAACCACATCCAGACATTCCTTGTCAGTCTCACTACAACGACGAAGCCGAAGCTGAAGGTCTTGGACTATAGGAACATGCTACCGGAGAACACACAACCTGAGATAGTAGCTACCATTTGCAAGTAGCCTCTGTCGAGGTTTCTATGAAAACGCAGCATTGCCTCAGGGGTGCTTGGAAATATTTCTTAATCTTTGGTTATTCTAATCCCGACGAAACGGCTAAAAGCAATATGTTTGCTTGGGTCCCAACTTCAGTATAGTTGCGACATAAGAGGGGGCCGGAGAGCCTGGTTTTTAATCCAAAAGCAAGCAGCAAGTCACACCCATGTCTGGTGCAATGGTAAGTGCTGTAGTTGTATGGTTTTTTAGTGTTTGCTCATAAGTCGCTGTGTATTCCATAGCAGAGCCCGCGTAAGAAGGTTCATGTAGAAATGCTGCAGGACCCACCCATGCCACCGCTCGAAGACGAGTGGGACAGGCTTGCGCTCACCTACACCGTTTGTAACTCCGCCCAGAAGCCATACTCAGAAAACCAACGGTTCATCTCTAAAACCCTGAACCAAAACACCCTAAGCCCTAAACCAAAACACCCTAAACCCCAATCCCAAAGCCCTGAACCCTAAGTCTCAGACTTCAAAGTCGTGAAAACCCAAATGCCAGAAGACTTCCTGCAAGGCAGCCGTTCGGTGAGCAGATGATAAGTGGACGCAACTCACCCCACCGGCCCCTCGTTTCAGCAATTTTTGCCAGGGCTTCAGGGCTTAGGGCTTCTTTTGTGTTTTTAAGGTTTAGTGATTTGGGGTTTAGGGTTTAGGGTCAGGGTGGTTTGGGGTTTAGGGCTCATGGGCTCGCAGAACGCAGGGTTTGATTTGAGGGCATGGCCCAATTGAATCCTTAGCCCTACAGGCCCAAGGTTGAACGGTCTTTGCCTAGATTTGTGGTTCCATGGTGGCTGAAGGGCCCTAAACCCGAAACCCGAAGCGGTTCGCGGTTTTGGATGAGCCGGACACGGTTAGCACAAGCTTCTGGTCTCGAGATGCAGTCCAGTCCATGAGGTGCCTTTCACATCCCAGATGCCTCTTACCCTAAACCCTAAAGCCCAAACCCTAGATCATTGCACTTAAAAAAAATCTTAAACCCTAAACCCGTAAACCCTAAAACCTAAACCCTAAACCGTATCCTAAAGTCCTTAAGATACCCCGAGACGTGCATACACGGCTGGCGGCCTACAGTCGTCGATTCGCCGTGAGCCTTCAAACTTAGCGTTTTTTCGGGGTTAGGGTTATAGGGTTTAGGGGTTTGGGTTATTATAGGGTTTAGGTCTTTACAGCTTGAGGGCGGGCCCAGCAGAAGCAATGCAGGCTGGATGCAAAAAGGGCTTTAGGGCTGTAGGGTTTAGGGTTTAGCTATAGGGTTATAGGGTTTAGGGCTTTGAGGTGCGATCTTAATCGTGGCCACTCACCTCAAAACGAAAGCCAAATCGCTAATCCCATGTGCCAAGCGTGCGATGCAAGAGGCAGAGCGGGCACATTGTATCCCCAGATTAGACTTGTCACCCCCAAACCCTAGTCCCTCAATCTTGGCATCCGAGAGCTTAAGGGTAGATCGCCTTAACTCTAGAAGCCTGAACCCTAAACCCTAAAATCCTGAAGCGTTCGCCCGAAAGCTTGTTCCCTCAAGCCGATGCTTGGGATGAAGGCTGGAGGACTGCGGCTTGGGGTGGCCATGCATCCTTTCAGAGTGATCCTAAAGACCTCGACCCTAAACCTCAACGGCTCTAAAGACCGTAAAAACCCCCTGTAGCCCTTGTGCCCTGCATCTAGGAGGCCCTCAACCCTAAAACTTAGGTCAAACCTATAAGCCCTAAACGTTATGAGCCTTTAAAACACCTATAAGCCCCCAACCCGCAATATCGTGACCACGATACACACCCCCGCCTGTAGCCCTATTGGAACCCCTGCTACGGCCCAAAAGCCCCAAATGTCGGAGCATATAGGGGTTTCAGAAAACAGGGGACCCTAATATAGGACCCTAACTAGTAGGATGCTAAGCATCAGGACCCCTAAGTAAGGTACCCTAGTTTTCTGAACTTCCTATATACCGAGGTACTCGCCTTTCGAGCTGGAGTACTTGGAGGCTTCATAGGGCTTGGGTTTAGGGTTTAGGGGTTTAGGGCTTAGGGTCTAGGGGTCCAGGGGTTAAGGGGCTTTTGGAGAACTTGGGTTGGGGTTTTTATAGGTGTTGTCATGGCTTCTGGGGGTTCTAGAATGTTTTGGGATTCGGGCCGAGTCTCTTCTTAAAGGGCTTAGGGCTTCTACTGGTATCAGGTTCGTTAGGGCTTCCTTCCAGGCTTCCTTGAAGGGGTCTGGAGTTCCAAGTGGGTCGGGGCTTAAGCTGGAGGGCTTTGAGAGGTTGGGAGAGCTAATGGTTCAAGATCCTCAACCCTAAAAGTCCTGAGCCTTAAACCCGTAACCCGATTAAAATATAAAAGATGCACACCTGAAACCAACAATCCTGCGGCCTAAACCACGAAAAAACACACACACCTAAACCCCCCAAAATCCTGCGCCCGAAACCCTAACACGGCTCGTGCACTTGGGAACCCCCTCGGTTCGGACCAGGTTTTTTGGCTTCGAATGGGTGGGGACCTTGCCATAAGCTTTCCCTACTGCAGGGACCTTAATAATTAGAATAGGGTTTTTAGGGTTCTAGGGGTTCCTTTAAAAGGTGCCTTAAAGGGTTCTGTAAGGGCTACTATAAGGGTTTAGGGTGTACGGGCCTCAATAATTAGAATGGGGTTTTGGGGGTTCCTTATTGTAGTAAGACGGGCCCCAAAATAATTAGAATAGGGTTTGGGGGTTCCTTATTAGAATTAAAGTTTAAAGTACAATACACCCCAAAACCATGTTCTGATTACTTAGGCCCCTATATTAGCGATTCTGCTTGGCTGTTTGTTGTGATATACCGACAGATGTCTTGCTTAGGTAGCACGGTCCTTTCAAGTACCCTGGAAGCTTTGGGGCGTCGGAAGCTAAGCAGGGGGATATTCGGAAAATTGCTGAAGATCTCCCTTAGAGCTTCGGTGTGGGTCTCACGTTTGAGGGGATCCCTCCACCCCAAAATACCCCCGTCCCCGAGTATCGTGTTGAGGTGTGTGCGTCAAAGCTCCAAGCTGGAAGCCCGAAGCCAGCATTTGGTCGCGGCGGAGGTGTGTACGCTGGACGTGAGTTTCGAAGCATAACCTGCTACTTTCATAGCACTATGTACAGTCTTCAATGAAGAAGCCCAGAACCCTAAAACCGTGAGCTCTAAACCTATAGCCATTCATGATTAGTCAATAGCACTTCCCGCAAGAAGTGGTGCACTCTGAAGGCAAGGGACTACTGGCTTCAGTTTACCGTGGCATGGCAGACGTTACGGGTTTGTCGGTCGGGGGGTTCTGAGTGTCAAAAGCTTCGAAAGTGGTATCAAGGTAGGTGGGTCTTGGCTTGAGGGACCCAAACCCCAAACCCTTGTAAGACGACTCTATTTATGGACTGCCTCCTCTATCCTACCTTCAGCGCCCTCTGAGGGCATTCCATCATTGTGCAAGTTTGGTTCAGGGTTTTGGGGGGCATTGAGGTTCTCTGACAACGTCATCGATGCTTTTGGTGCCTTTGCGTCCCAAGGGCTCACGTGAGGCTGTTCACGACACATGGTGAGTTTCGAAGCACCTTAGACACATCAGGCGTTCTTGATCCGGTACCGTCAGTTGTCTGCAATTGACAACGCTCCAGCTAATTGGTTTAGGGCGCGGGGCTTAGGGTTTAAGGCTTATGGTTTCGGGTTTGCTGGTTTGTGGCGGTTGGGTTTTTTTCCGGGAAGTTCCGGCCTTAGGTTTGTTCTGGCGCCTTGGAGAGAACCAGAACCTGACGGCCTAAGCACTTTTTGGGCCTGAAATCAAATCCTACGTAGTATAGGGGCCCTTTATCTATACTATTTTGGGGGTTCCTTATGAAATTTACAGTGCAATATTCTCCCAAACCCTATTCTAGTTGTTAAGGCAGGCCCCTATATTAGAGTTATACATCAGGGCTTCACCCTGTTTACACGCATCCAAGCCCCCAAGCCCGCAGCTCAGCTCCGAGGAGTACCTGCGGGCTCCTGCCGTTGGAAGATTTGCTGGGCTTCCTGACCTGCTGTTGCAGGTGCCACTGGGTCTGTGGCGTCGATGATTCGAAGTCTTTGGTTCAGGGGTTTCGAGTTCGGTGGGGCCGGGATGGGTGTTGAACAGCCAGACGTAGAGCAGACTTGAAGATGGCCTGACTTCCTTCGGCTCAGTTTCCGGATTCTTAACCCCGGTCCTTCGACCCAGAGTGCATAGTTGCTTCCCAGAGCGGTCGCACGAGTTGATCTTTTCTTTGCCCCGTCTAGCACATCAGAGAGTCTAGCTTCAAAAAGGGCGTGCGTGTAGAGCCCTTAAAGGCTTAAAGAGCACTTACTGAAGCCTTATAGAGCCCTTAACAGATCCCCTAACTATGAAGCCTTATCGAACTCACCAAAAACCCTAAACCCTAAGCCCTCAAGCCCGGACACTTATCGCCATGCCTGCAGTTGCGAGTGTGTGAGTCGAAACCCAAAGCCCTCAACCCTAAAAATCGTAAGGGCCCAAAGCTCTTTCAGACAGGTCGCCAACCTCGACGGGCCGGCGGTCTCTGCTGCAATGCAGGCCCAGAACCAGCTCTCCTTTCAGGAAAGCCAGGCAGGGAGGCCTTGGGGCCCATTACTTCAGGAAGGTTTTGGGTTTGGGGCCGTGCCGGAACCAGGATCCGAACCATCAGCTTGCAGTCTTCCCAGGTCTGAAGAAAGGATGACTCTTAAAGTTTAGGGTTTAGGGTTACGAGCGACGTCATTGCAAGTAGGGACACGCTGAGAACCCCAGGCCCTGCACCAGAAAAGCGAAACCTTTCACATCCGGAACAGATAGAGGTCCTGAGACAGCCAGAGCGAAGCCCAAGCCCTGAGCAGTAATATAGGGGCCTTATAATCAGA